TCCGCCATGATCGGCCAAGTTGACAGTTTTATTGTTCACTTGAGTTTTATCTCAAACAGATAAGATAGCGCAAGGGTGGTCTAGCAGGCGAGCACGTAGTATCGAATTTCGCGAGTTTCAGTCGCGGGTCATAGTTACATCAATAAGATAACACTCTAGTTCTTAGAAGGGCCTTTATTCGAGACTCTTCCCGTAACGCTTTTTCACTAGAGGACTTCCAAGAAAAATATATTATTTGATATATTTATTAGTCTCTTGCACGTGCACTGTTTAGATTTCGAGCCTTCTCACGGTTCGAGTATCTTTTAATTGTTGTTTAAAATTCTTGGTCTTCTAGGGGACCTTTGTTCGAATATTTATCACGCATGGTTTAGGCTTTGAAATATTAGTCTTGCCTGCTAGATATTCCTTTAGTTTATTGTTTATAGTGCAAAGAGTTCCAAAGCGTAGGCGTTTAATATTACGTGAAAGAAAAGAATCGTGGAGTCCACCGGATGTAACATAACCATAAAAGAAATTTAAAACAAAAATAATGTATTACATTATTATCCGAATTATATTTTCCTATATCTAACTTATATACAATTACCATAGTTCGGTTGTGCATAATCAAAACTAAAAATCATTAATATTACTATCGTCAATATACATTCCTATATCTAGTCTATATACACTATATACACCATATACATTATACATATATGTATATTATATACACTATATACAAAGCACGAATCTTTTACAAATAAAATCAAACTTGCATATTCTATGCATGCTATTACAATTAAAACATAAAATGATAACTTATACACAAATAGCCTTACATTACCTCTATTGCTATTTACGTTCTTAACTTAATTTTTATTAAATCAAATATAGAATTTAAATAGAGCCATATTTACATTTCTAATAATCAAATAAATGTATATATCAACTTAAAATTACTATTGTATATTTCAGTTTTTAACTTAAATTCCTAAAATTCTATAAATTAATTAAGAACTTTAAATTTGTTTATACACGGTGTCTATAAAGTTTGCCCCCACCCCTTATATTTCGGAAACGGCTCAAAATTATGAAAAACCGCAAATATGTGTGGCAATGAATACATAAACATTAACAAATTTATGGTGAATAATATATTCATTTTATAGTTTCATTTTTTTTTATGATGGAAATGTAACAAAAATTTATTTAACATAAATCATTTTTAATCTAACGCACAACACAAACACATTTTTTCTAGCGATTCATACAATCACGATTGCACTTTTAAAATGCATTTATTACATTTATTACGATCACTATCATTAAATTATATGTATAAATAGGTTTAAAAAAAATGTATAAAGAATGTTTTATTTTACTCATGTAATGTGTGTGCTACATTTTTTCACTTTTTAACTTTTCCTAATTTTTTTGTTTATTTTACTTTTAATGCTATACTGATTTATCTATTTTATATATTTTCATTTTCCTAGATATTCTAGAATTGCTAGCTGAGTATGAACCACTTCTCGCAACCCATATTAAAGAACATGCAAACAAAGGGAGTGGTCATATCAATTACCTTTTGTCTACGATTTGTGAAGAACTAATCAGTTTAATGGATGATAAAGTTCTCAACGAAATAGTAACGAGAATTAAACAATCAAAATATTACCCCGTTTGAGTTGACTCCACGCCTGACGAAGCTCATATTGATCAACTAACTATAGTTGTTCGATATATAGAAAAATCGATGCCAAAGGAAAGATTTCTGACTTTTTTACCAAACTGCGGTCATACTGGTGATGCCACAGCAAAAGCTTTGCTTAAATTTTTAGGCGACCATGATATTGACATACTCGATTGTCGCGGCAAATCATACGACAGCGCTCCAAATATGAGTGGCAAATACAAAGGGATGCAAGCTTTGATTTTGGAGAAAAATAAGTTATCGGTGTTTGTACCATGTTGTCATTCTATAAATTTAGTTGGGAAAGCAGCTGCTAACTCTTGCACATCAGCTGTTCAATTCTTTGATTTCGTTCAGAATTTGTATGTATTTTTTACAGCCAGTACAGAGCGATATAGAATTCTGACTGAAACATTATCAGAGAAAAAAAAACAGTTCTACGTCTTCGAAGAAGCTCAGTGATACTCGCTGGTCTTGTCGAGCTGAAGCTATGAAAGTGCTTGTCGACGGCTATAGTGAAATAAAAGATGCTCTAACCAGCATATCTCACAATAAGGAGCAAAAAGACATCGTGAGAAACGAAGCAACAAGCCTTTTGGAGAAGATAAGTAGCCTCGAAACCGCTCTATTTGCCGTCTTTTGGAACGATGTTTTGGAGCGATTTAATACTACAAACAAGATGTTACAGACTCCGAAAATGATTCTTGAATCCGCAGTACGTGCATTGGAATCATTGAAGTTATTTGTTGAATCTAAAAGAGATGAGTTTAAATACGAAGAAGCAGTCAAAATAATATCAAACACTGATCAGTACATACAAACACACACGAGAACAATAAATGTGAGACTGAATCCGCTGGATTATATGAAAGCGCCAAATGCTAACCTATCATCAAAAGATAAATTTAGAGTATCAAGTTTTATCCCTGTGATCGATCAGCTATCTGTTTCTCTAACTGAAAGACTACATGCATATGATACTGTATATGCGCGATTTGGATTTCTCAATCGTTTAGAGGACATGGACACAACAAATTTGTATGCGGCGGCAGAAGAGATAGTAAAAGTCTATAAAGACGATTTAGAACCCAGTCTTGGAAATGAATTGGTCCAATTTAGATCATTGATCGATTTATACAAAAAGGATTATCAAAAAGATCAATCGAAAGAACTTTTCTATTATAGACTACTGGAAAATCACAATTTCAGAGCTACATTTCCTAACGTTGAAATTATCTTAAGAATGTACTTGGTATTGATAGTGTCCAACTGCAGTGGAGAGCGCTCATTTTTAAAATTGAAGCTTTTAAAAAATCGGCTACGATCAACGATGACACAAAACCGTCTGTCAAATTTATCACTGCTTAGCATAGAGAGCGATTTACTTCGGGAGCTGGATTTCACCGAAATCATTGATGATTTTTCGTCGAAAAAAGTTTGCAAAATATCGTTCGTCTAACGAAAATAATTTTATCTATTTATTTCTTTTAATTTATATAGTCTATGTAAAAATCAAGATTTATACATAGTCTGACAATGAAAAACTGGATATTTAAGTTAGTTTACAGAAATAGTCCTACGTATACTATTTTTATACTTACATGTATTTCTTAAATATTACATATATTACTTACATTACAAAATATTACATATATGTTACATGTATCACATAAATATTACTATATATATATTACATATATCATATATATATTAATACATCTTTAATAAATGTTAAATTTCTTTTCAAATATACAGTATATATAACATTTTTT